ACAAGTGGAGTATGGCCTGCTTAACTGGGACAGGAAGGAGGCTGTTTCAAGGAACATTTATGGTCTAGCTGGCTCCACATGTCCATCTGGCCCTTGGGATGCCTAGGAAACAAAAACATGACCACCATGGTTTTCCACACTAAGTGTGTGCTCCTGGGACCCAACCACAGAGCTGGAGGACCTAGAGACAGTGGTTTCACCATAGAAATGTCACATCTTCTGGGCAGGCGTGAGGGTTTGAACAACGAAACTTGTCAAGGTTAGTTAAATACATTTTGCCATGCACCCTTCTGGGGGCCGTTTTGGAGCCAGCAGTTCATTCAGCGTCTGAAGAATGTTGTGGGCCCTGCCCCCCAGGAAGTGGTTAACATGTTTTTAAAAGCAAGGGGGAATTTGTCTTGCATAGCGTGATTTAGTCATGTGTTTTAACCACAGTATCCTGTTTCAAGCAGGCAGCAGCTTGCAGCTTGTGAGACAAAAGTCAGTGTTGGGATTTTTGACTACCGACCAAACGGCTAGGTTATCTATCAAAACACCCCACAGTGTTTCCTTTTGGCCCCTTCCTAGTATTGGTGAGTGGAAAATCAGCAGCCTGTTCTCTCACCTTCTGAAGTCTGTACATTAATGCTCATATTGCCCCTTGTCTTAACTGTTTTCTCTTTAGACCCATCTCTTTTTGTTATGATCCACAATTTTGAGCCTGAGCAATTTGAAAGGGGCATGAATAGTTAAAATTCCTTTAAACCCAATAGGGCCAGAATTCATAGCCCTCCTGGAGTCTCTTAAATGTGCCAAGGAGTCTCTCTCTTTCCCTGTGGAAACCCCAAGAAAGACAAATTTAATAAAAAGGAAATCTAGGCTATAATAGGTGGTTTTTTAGTTCTCAGTGGTCACTGGATAGGACAGTGGAATTTCAACAACTTCCACTCAAATTTCAGAAGAAAGAGCGCAGTGCAAACCAAGCATAATAAAACTTTATTTTTGTGTCTATTAAGGAAACCTAAAATGCAGGTACCATATACTTAACAAAAGAGAAAGATGTTCTAAAGAATAGATGGAAATGAAAATACTACTGTATACCTGTCTGAAGTGAATTCCTTCAGGTCCAGTGGAGATCTAGTTACCTGCACTAGAAAATTGCCACTAATAAAAGCTTCTAAAAATTAAAACTATACAATGCTTCTTCTGTGCCTGGAATCCCTAAGCAGAAAAGCATTACTTCTGTAGACAATAATGTAATATGACCAGAGGTGGTATTTTTAAAGCATAGTAAGTATAAAGTTAAATTTAAAGTTTTCAAAACTATCTAAACAATTTGGATGCTTCAGTGCAATGCAATACAGGAGTAAGAGAGCTAACTATTCCTGCTTAGCAGAGGGATGAGGGAAATTTCTTATGGAAATCAGAAATAACAAAAATTATTCTAACAATTAATGAAACTAAGCTAGACAAGAATTCAGCAGTATTAGCTGTCTAAGAAGGCTTCCAGATGGTGTTAACTAAAGAGCACCTTGATGAAGTAAAGGGACTCATAGATCTACAGGAACTGGGTGGTTTGTTGATTCTTTAGATGTTTATTGGTAGCAAAGCTGACCCGTGGTGTTTAAATTATGCTGCTGTGTGTTCTTTCCTGCTCTTCGTCTGCCCATTGCTGGCTCACTTACCCAGTACCTGAAAGAGCAATGTTTGTTTTAATTTCTTATTCACATTTAATACAGTGGTGCTGAGTTTCTCTTAATCTAGAATGTATTGGACAAGTTGTTTTTGGTCATTTTGGCTACCTGATCTTCAGAATTCTCCCCCCGCCTTTTTTCATCCCCCTTTTCACATTTGTTGGCTTTTGGGATTCTCCCTTTATAGTTCTTGCTGATCTGGACATTCATCCAGACTTTGTGCTCTGCCACTTGAAACAACCAGCAGAAGATTTCTGATAGAACCTGAGATGCTCTGGACTAGCCTGATGCAAAGGCAGTTTGGGGATGAGGTGCAATTTGGGGGTTACATTAACTTATCCAGTGGAAACAGGAACAGCTGAACTGATGTCACTCCTTGTGGGGTTACAGAAGGATGCAAAGGCAACTGGTCACTCCTTGTACTTGCCTTCTCTGTTCCCAGGGACTGAATGACGTGTTTCCTACCTCAGAAGAGAAACAGCTTGATACTCATGATTATATTGAAGGCGATGCTTTTTGCCAGCAGGATTCTCAAACCCAAAACAGCCATGAACAGCATATTCACTTTCTCCATTTTGACATCTGCTTTAAAAAGGAGAAGAGGGAAGAGATTGTGGTCTTGATATTATCCCCACCCACCCCCCTCAAAAAAAAGAAGGAAAATCCACACATGCTAGGTAGATGAGGGAAGCAGGAACAAAGGAAAAGATGACAGAGGAATGTATGAAGTGCAGGGAAGAGAGGAGATGTCTGCCCAGTGAAAAATTTATTTCCCATTGCTGTTTTATCCCATGGAAATTTGTCAGCTATTTAGTCTGTTAACCTGAAACAGCAGGTTATTTCTCAACAAGTATTTCCAATTCTGATGTTTCTGCACCAGAGAAAGCGATTTTTCATTTTTTGGTATTGAGTCCACAAAAAGTGCAGCTTATTGCTTAATAAGTATCTACAATTCAGACATTTCTGTACCAAAGACTGCATTTTCATGCATTCTTACGGAATCCCCAATAAAGTAATCATACTCTATTGTTCCTTTAGGCAACTAACCTTTTGTAGAGGCATCTGTAATGTTGCAAGCATTAACTGTTTCAAATTCTTCAGTTTTCTCTTCTGTTGAATGATTGAGAGACACTATAAATTGTATCTAAACTATATAAAACAAAAATTACACAAAACATACCTATAACTCTTTTCCCAGCAGTAGATAAGCAGTATTGGAGAATCAGATGGAGGTCATTAATTCCGAGATTAACTTGAAGAGAAAAATTAAGCTTTTTACACGTGATTGCAGAAAAAAAACCCAGGATTGTTGAGTTTTATTTTCTCTCCCTTTTGAAATGAACTTTACAATAGGAACAGAACAATTTAAAAAGTGATCAAAAAATAACCAAAAGATTTTGGGGAAAAAAATCACATGTCCTTTTTTTATTTTGTGTTTTCATAAAAGTTATTTCAAACTTTCTTCTAGCAGGCATGTATACTCATGTCCCTTGAACTATTTTGCCTTAGATAAAGCTAGACTTGCAAATATTAGAGGTCTTTTTTTTGGGGGGGTAGGGTTTTTGTTTGTTTGTTTTTTTCTTTTTTGGGAAGAAAACTCTATGTGCTTAAATAGTTGAATTAAGGTCATGTATGCTAGGTGCTTTGAATATCTCTTCTTCACCTAACTAAGCACGTAAATATCTTTCTGACTGTACTTACTTGTTCCTGCTAGGTTCTCAAAGGGTAAGAAAACATTTTGGAAGATGCATCTCCTAGAATCCTATTGTGTTTGGACCACAACACGGTACCTGGCAGAATTATGCTGGCTGTAGTCTTGTTCCGCTTATGCATAGCCTTGCAGGTCACCTCTGCATCTGGTTCCACTCCAACTACCTTCATGGTACTATACATCCCCTCAGATGTGACAAGAGGTGCCTTCAGATCATATACAATCTCACTCCTGGGCACATCAAGGCTGATGTTCTTAGGGTAGAAAGTCCTTGCCAAACAAGCCATGTTCAGTTTCTTGTCATATTGTTTGGGTTCCTTTGATTTAAGCACAATGACTTCTGGGGCAGATTCTTCTTGACTCTCTGAAAAAGAAGCATCATTTTGTGATGACTTTATTTTCTGCATACTTTTCTGAGAGCTAAATCATCTACAGTTGAGATATAGTCCAGCCACGTCTGCCCCCTGACAGCTGAGTGTCTTTCTGTGTTTATATCTTCCTCCTGTTTCCCAAAGAGCAGATCAAAGACAGAAAGGGAGTATAAGGGTGGGATTTTCATTGGAGCTTCTAATCCCTTGGGCTCCTAAGCTTGTTTTTATCAGAACTCATACATATATATATATATGTGGATTCCTTTAAGTGAGGGACCTTGAAATGAGGAAGGGGACTTTTAAGAATACAACACACATGATCATATTAATTTTGAATTCATACGAATTTAGATACTAAGAAGAACCTTTACTTCAAGGGTAGCCTTATATGCTTGTAACATGATGTATATTAAAAGATCCTTTTTTTATTACCCAAAACCCCTTTACCTGATGAGGCTAAAAGGATTAACCGTAGCACATAGGGAGAAAAGACAGTTTGTTACTCCGCTCTACAATGCTGTCTGATGAGTGGGATTACTTGCAGATACAAAATAATGTTGCTAAAATGGAAGATGAGGTTAAATCTTTCATTAACAAATGTTCAGTTCCAAGGAGTTTCTTTCCAAATTCCGTTCTTTGAAAGTTTCTGTAATATTTCTATGTTGCACTTGACCCAGCCATATAAACCTCTCTTAACAAGTGAATAGTGTTATGGGAGCTCTGGAGATGTTTCCAAGTCATGATACCATCTCACTGCATAATGCTGAGCCATCCTAAAGAACAACACTGGGGTGTCTAACAGAGGAGTTTAGTGCCATTCCAAACACACCATTTATTCTGTCTTCTCTCTGGCTGTCCCTTCCAAAAGAAACAGATCTTTTGTACATCCTTAGGGCATCTTTGTACTGGGGGTGGGGGGAGGGGGGAGTGGTTATATTTGTATTGCACACAAAAAGCGGTTAATATACTTATGCAAACAATTGTACTTCTTTTTCTTCTTAATCTTACAAAAGCACAGAACTGGCTATATATTCCATCCTCTTGTGGATCTTGGCTTCCTCCAATGAGAATTATACAGGGAATGAACCAAATAATTCCTTAGCTATTCTCTTACTGAATTCTCAGGAGGAGATATCTTAAAAACTGTAATATTTGCTGTGGAAATCAGTTGGTCTTAAATGGAAAACATTTTTAATAAACATTTTTCTAAAACATTCAGCATATTTAATAGGTATCAACTCCCCCCAGCCAAAATTAACTGATGCTTCCCTATATTTTTTTTAACAGAATTCTATTGTAGCATGCAAATATACCAGAAAGTACCAACTACACATGGGATATTCCCTAGAAGAATCTTTTATATAGATCAGTTTCTCCAGTCATTTGATACATAAACATATTTTTATATGTATGCACATGCATGTGTGTATGTGTATGTTTTCTTTAGTAATTTTCCCTTTCTCATAGCACCAGTATGAAGCTTCCCTCTAAGAAATTCCCAGTTATAGAGAAATTGAGAACTTCACTAGGAAAACTAACAGATTAATTAATGGTGTTACTAATACTAATATTTTACATTACAGTATAAATTGAAAGTTCAGATGAAGAAAGTACATCATGTAATAGAGCATTTGAAAGGGGTCCAAAAATCCTAATATGAAGGGACAGAGCTTCATATTCAAAAAGTTAAAATTTTGCAATTAACACAGAAGAAAAAAGGTCTGGGGCAAATTTTTGTGGTTTTGGGGGTTTTTTTTGAATAAGCTTAGTCTAGATAAGCTTTCTGCATGCAAAAAGTGTTCTCCCTGGAATAACTGGAGATCAGTATGTACTGGAGCAGGACCCTAGGATGTGATTTCCAAGTACTGGAGTCACAAAGGAGTAAATTATTTGCTAACATAATATGTAAAGTTCAGTTGAATTACACTGGAGAAAATCTCTTCCTGAGCTCTTAAAAGCCCAGGAAAGACCCTTACAGTTCTGTGATTTAAATCCATCCTTTGCTTACTGTGCTTTCACCTTACAGAACTGCACAGGAATCAACACAGTAACAGTAGGTGGGTGGAATCAGATTAGACCTTTCCTAAGAAGGCTGAAACATAAGCAACTGCATTCCTCGTATCCAAAAATACCGGTGAATGTGATACCCCGCTTTAATGACTACATACACATAGAAAAATAAACATACATGTGGGTCTCAGAAGGATTTGGAAAGATCCAGACAGAGAAAGAAATGCAAGTTTACAGTTTCCTCAAATATCTTTCCGCTCTATCTGCTATGATTAAGATGGACAGTCCTGATATATTATTTACAATGCTGTTGGGAATGCCCCAGAGCCAAAAGGAAGCATATTGTAGGCAAATACTAATGCAAGCGAACTGCTACTGCAGAGCTTGTCTTTTGGGGAGACAGTGAAGAGCCAAGCAGGCGGATTAGCCATGGCTTCCGATGGCACCATAGCAAATGCAGACTGAGGACACAAATGAGGCTTTTAGGTGGCAACAGAATTGTTCTTTCTGAAAGGAATCTGATACTCATGAAGCAAGATCTTTTTCAAAGGCACCAAGAAGCTCCCTCCATTAACAATTCTAACTTTCCATACTTCGCTTTATTTTGTGAGCTGGCCTATAGGTCATTTCTTAATTATTACCCACTTTCTTCTGCAAAAGCGTCTCCTCTCAGCACCTGCTCTGACCAGCCTTTCCCCTCCAGCTTTCTTAAAAAGTCACCCTCTTATCATTCATTTCCTTCCACACTCCATGCACCAGGTCTCACCTCTTAACTCAAATCCAGCATTACTCTCTCTTCCTTCAAATCCACCATGACAAATACATTGCAAGAAAATACTTTCACATCCGTCCCGAATGAAAAAGCAAGCTAATATCATGCCCATAAATTAACTTTTCCTCAGAGCCTTCCAGTGCATTAGCATCTGGTTGCTTAGCAAGGATCAGATTCTGCAGTAGTATTTGCTGTTAGTGCGACTTCAAAAAACAACTGAAAGCATCAGTTGATCAGTAAAAGGCTGTACAGCTCACAGAGGTGGCACTTAGATTTTAAACTCAAGAGAACAGGAAACATCCACCTCCCTCTGGCACAGCGTCAAGAAGTCTGCTGGCACTTGACAAATCAAATGTAACAACAACAGCAGCAGCAACAACTTCCTCAATGCGGACCTGCCTGGGCTTTTGTGCTTCTCCCTTCCCTGTGCCTGAGAACCTGGCGGGAGGTGAGCCCTGAGGCAGCATCACAAACTCTGTGAGCAAAAGGCTGACGGTTCTAAGGAAGAAGCTGAAGAATGAGTTTTTTACCCGTGTGAGTACAGGCCCAGCACAGCGGCATCTGATTCTTAGCTGGGGCATCTAAGTGCTGCTGCAATTACAAACGGCGCAGTGAAGAACACTCCTTCATATGCTGAAATGTTTTCAGCCTTGGGCTATTGAGAGAAGACTCCTTTCTGCTTCTGTGTTCCCCTACTTAATGAACTACTTATTTTCAGGTGGTTGTTTTGAGGCCTTGTGCCTTTGTAAATTTAACAATATAAAATATTCAGTCAGACACTGCAAGGAATGAATGACAGAACAATAACTCATGGCTAGTACATAGTTACTTCTCAACCACGGCCCCAACAGAAAAGCTAGTATGAATCACAGCACCGTAATTCATGCTGTCAAACTATTACTGAATGACTATATATTGAAACTAGTTGTTAACTATGGACAGATATTATTAATGCTAGTAGCTAATCCAGATATATTTACTACTCAATTATTTGCGGTCTTTTCTGTGCAGGTCTGTAAGAAGCTGCTGTAGAGCTGCAGTCTATTTTGGAACTGGAAATTTTATTAAGCCTATATATTTGGTTTCTGATTTTTTTAATTAGTATTTTGATATTAAGGAAATATTTGAACCTGCAAGTGGGAATTTTTTTCAAAAACATGCTCTCTCTTTAGTAAGTGAACACGTGTGATCAAAAGTGCCAGGAGATGAGATGCAAAGCCTCCTGGAGCGGAATCTAGACCTCATTTTTACCATTAGTTTAAATAAATAAATAAATAGAAAAGATAATTACCATGAACCACCATCATGTGGATTCAAAGCTCACTGAAAGCAGTCTGCAAAATACTCTGAAACTCTGGGAGGAAAGAGACTGTGAAAACATTGAGTATGTTTTACTAGTGTATTACTGTGTTTGTGAATGTCCTGAGAGACAAAGACAACCATTTTTCCTAAAAGCTCTTTTCTGAACCAGATTTCTCTTCCACAGGTGATGGAACTCCACCAAGAGTCTCCCAGGGACTGGGCTAAGGGGCTGTGGCTTCTTGGGAGACACCTTACCCACTCCATGATACCTTTTGTAGACACCCTTCTGCTCACCTTCTTACTTTGACTGAATCACCACTGCCTCTGAGACCTTTGGTGACTGGGGCAGGAACCAGGAGAAGCAAAGTTTAATTCCATTTCACATGTGAAATGAGCACAGAACAAGCCACACATACTACTTATCACAGGGCAAACACTCAAAAATTCAGTTCCACTTACACGAGATCCACATGCAAATCATGGGGATCTAATTCAAGTCAGGGTGCTATCAACAAGCAAGGGAAAAGGAAAAAGGATCATTAGGTGCACATGCAAAAAGGTGCAGTCTGGTACAAAGAATACAAAAATAATTTCTATATTGGTTACAGAAAAACATACAAGAAAACCTGCCACAATGTTCCATAATAGACACTGCAGAACAGAGACAGTAAATTAACTTCCAATGTATCGATCTGTTTGGTGAGCACAATGATTTTAAGTAACCATTCTGCCTAACAAGGAGAGGGAGAAAGGTATTTCATTGTGCCCACTCCAGCACCACACCGTTCTTGAGAAGCCAGAGGGTAATGGACCAGGCAGAACTCGGATGCCCAGCATC